ATAATTATTATAATTATTGATCAAATATTCATAGTGAATTAATACAAAATGTAAAAATAACAAAAAAAAATTCATCCACAATTTGCATAATATTTTACATAAATCATTATTAAATTTACATCAAAAGTATCAAAAAAGTATAAATATTTCATTCATTTATTATTTCATTTATTCAATATTTTGTCAAGTTTCCTTTTGATTCAATTATAGCTTGAACCCTTCAAGGAATGCTATCTACTAATTTTTGCAAATAATCATGATCAAGATTAGTCCATTCATCCATTAAATAAAAAACTAATTCATTTGTATTTTTTGAAGGAGCAATAGTAGTTTGATCTTAAATGCTTTTATTGCATGAGTTACTTGTGACTGAAAATGACTGAGTGCATCCAATGTCACAAGTGTTTTCATCTGCTTCCCAACATCCAATTATTCAAAGTCTGTTAATTGAGACATGAAGGTTCAATCTTTTTTTTTTTAAAAAAAAATCTAGTTTTGGTTAGATATTTAAGCCGTCCTTTAAAGTTTGTTCACGCATAATGATAATTGTCTTGCATAAAAAATTCATTACGATTTTTTTTACATTTTGTATTAATTCTCCATGAATATTTGAGAACAAACAGAACAATATTTTCTAAGTTCCCTAGATGTGTTAAAACATTGTATCTTAAAATAGCTCTAAGTGCTACTTTTTCGAAAAATTTTAATTTGACTTTTAAACATCATAAAATTATCAATAACAATCGGTCCAATGTGATATTTAGAATGTTATGGGAATCATTTCAGCAAACATTTTCTCGCTAATACACAACATCTTAAAAAACGAGTATTTGGTATATATTCGATTATTTTTGCAGATCATCAAGATCGCCTGATAATGGTTAGCCCAAAATTATTGTGATTTGATTGATTGATTGATATCTGATTATGATTGACAATTAGTATGTAAACAAACGATGGTCATTTTTGGTTAATTTCTAAGTTTAAAAAATAAAAATGCTTTTAGAAGTAATTCAAATCATCATTGTAACCTCAAGTTTCATTATCATATTATTAAAATTTAATAAACAAAGCTCAGATTATGACTTTTTAGATGAATCTGGCGATACCTTTGTTGGTACCTCACGTTTCTCGACTCTAAAGAGAGATGTTTTTAAATTAGTTTTTATATTGCTTCAAACCGGCTTGTACACGTTTCTATTTTTTTGGGATTTTAAGAATGACGAGGAAAGCACCAGATTGTCACAGGACGCAATGTTTACATTTTATTGGGTATTGAGTTTTATAATATATTCAACGCTGTGTTTCTCATAAACATGCAAAGTTTTTTCTCCGATCAAACTCGAGTCAGGCAGTGAAATGAAGGGTAAAATAGTAGTGACATTCATTTTCTGATCATTGGTGGAAGACATGGACCATATCTTTAACCACACACTTTCTGAAACTTGCGATACCCTCGTAAAAATAAAGAGAAGAGCTACTATCAACCAAAATATGATGAACCCATTTGCACGAAAATAAGTTTTGTAAATTTTTAATCTAACAACGCCTGTAGGTCGTTCTAAAAACAAATTGATTAATGTTAGAAATAAATATATGTCGTGATAAAAACACTTTTAATAATGATTTATTGACATACTTTCTTCTTCTACCAACACTTTGGGTTTATAATTATGCTGTATTGACTCTTCATTATTATCTCCAGCATCAGCATTTATCAGAGTCGTTGTCGTTGAAGAAGCTGT